AACTGATTCAGTATCCACTGGTCCATTGAAGAATGAGACTGTGGAGTTTATATTGCACAATACAGACATGAAGAGACTTGAGATCTGTATTTTGCCTCAGTTTTCACAGTGGAGGATAGTAGTACCATCCCAATGATAACAGGGAATGCGAAGGTTATGGAAAAATCATCATCACTAGGCAAAAAGTATCGAGCAAACAATTGGGATTGAAGGCAGACAAGTCCCCAGAGCCTGATGGCCTACATTCTAGGATGTCAAAGGAAATAGCAGCGCACATAGTGGATGCAATGGCTATAATACTCCAAAATTCCTTGAATGCAGGAAATGTTCCAATGGATTGGAAAAATGTTAAAATTCAAAAAGGGACAGAGGCAGAAAGTAGGAAACTGTAAACCAGTTAGTTTAACATCTGTCATTGAGAAATTGTTAGAAGTTAAGGAAGTCATAACAAGACATTTGGAAAGTTGAAACATGACCCTTTGGGGTCAGCATGGTTTTATGAAGAGTAAATTATGTTTGATTATTTTGCTAGAAAGCTGTGGACGCCAATACATTGAGTAAATTTAAGGAGGGAATAGACATATTTTTAATTATTAACGAGTGGAAGAGTTATGGAGAATGGATGGGAAAGCGGAGTGAGATCAGCCATGATCGTATTGAATGGTAGAGCAGGCTCAAGGGGCCAAATGGCTTATTTTTGCTCCAGTTGTTATATTCTTATGGTTTTATGAAAGACTTTTGGTAGTTTCTATCATAAAGTCATTGAGATGTACAGCAGAGAGGCAGACCCTTCAGCCCTACTCATCCATGCCGACCAGATATCATAAATTAATCCAGTCCCATTTGCCAGCATTTGGCCCATATCTGTCTAAACCCTTCCTATTCATATACCCATCCAGATACCTTTTAAATGTTGTAATTATACCAGCCTCCACCACTTCCTCTGGCAGTTCATTCCATACACACACCACCCACTGCATGGAAATTGCCCCTTAGGTCCCTTTTAAATCTTTCCCCTCTCATCTTAAAATAGACATTAGTTTATGCAGCACAAGAGCTGCTCCTGATGTGGCACCATTTGGAAACCTGACCTTCATATTATTCTCAGGATAGCTACTTTATGTTTAGGAGGCAGTTTAGTCTCTCAGCACTTGTTTCCCGCAAAGTGAGATTAATGTAAACAACTTCCACAAAACAAGCTGCCAATGCCACACTGTGTTTCATTTCAAGGTGGGCTGGTTGAAGAGAAAACAAAAAAATCAAGAACCGTCTTCAGGCTTAGGCTTAGAACTAACATGATTTATTATATATTGCTCAGAAGTCACACAACACCAGGTTATCGTGACATTTCACCTGATGGAGAGGCTACACTACGAAAGCTTGTGATTTCAAATAAACCTGTTGGACTATAACCAGGTGTCATGTGACTTATGACTTTGTCCACCCCAGTCCAACACCAGCACCTGCACACCATATTATATATTAATACTAAATACTGCTATACACAGTAATCATAGATATCCCAGACTCTGATCTTATTATTATTAGGTAATATCTATTCACAGATGCATACAGCATGGAAACAGATCCTTCGGTCCAACCAGTCGATGCTGACTATAATCCCAAACTAAACTAGTCCCACCTGCCTGTTCCTAGCCCATAGCCCTCCAGATGTTTCTTATTCATGTACTTATCCAAATATCTTTTAAATGTTGTAACTGCACCTGCATCCACCACTTCCTCTGGAATCACTCTCTGTTAAAAAGTTGCACCTCATGTCTTTTTTAAATCTTTCTCCTCTCACCTCAAAAATATGCCCCTAGACTTGAAACCCCTATCGTAATGTAAAAACCTGCCGTTCGCCTTATCTGTACCCTTCATGATTTTATAAACCTCTGTAAGGTCACCTGTCAACCTCTACGCTCCAGTGATAAAAGTCCCAACCTATCCAGACTCTCCTAACTCAAACGCTCGATTCCCAGCAACATCCTGGTAGATACTTTCTGAACCCTCTCCAACTTAATAATATCCTTCCTACAACAGGACAATCAGAATTGGGCACAATACTTATCCTCTTTATATGTCCATGTCCATGTGATCTCACTGTCTTCCACAAGAGAGAGAATTCTACCTACTATGTCCTATTCATGCTCAGTCATGTGCAGTTCTGTGACAGAAGGGTCCTGAAGCTCTTGCTTAAGTCAATTGAAAATTGCTGATCTGAACTCAATGGTTGTTGGACAAAGTGTAGTGATTGGAACCATGGCCAGGTGGTTCCATTGACTGTGAGATCCTTGATCGGGGTTGTTAACCTGGGCCAATCAGGGAGCCCTGGCTGAAAGATATGAACAGGAGTATCAGAACATCTCGTCAGTCTGTGGACTGGCCTTGAGCTGGCTACTCAGAGCCCATGTACTGTCCTCATATAATAAAGAGTGACTTGGTGACAGGATACCAGCCTCCATGCAGTTATTTCACTAAGATATCACTTTTACAGAACCAAAGCATGTAAATTGAGTTAATATATGGTGATACAGGTGTGAGAGGCTGAATAGTCAACTGCTATTTCCAGGCGTTCATAAAATCTAAGCCAGTGGTGAGACAGAAAGAAACTAAGACATATACTTTTTCTTTATGGAGAGAGTGAATTGACTTGCTCAGTTTTAACAGTCTCATACCTCATCTCTTCCCCACTCCACTCGTTGCAGCTGTTTCCAATTTTTATGTGCTCAAAGATAAATAATATCCACCAGCTGTTTCTCTTAACCTTAACAAAGACATCAACAAGCTTCAACAACATGATTGACCAGTCATAAATATCAGGCCCCTATTCTAATTAGGAGAGTTGACCTTTGCATTTGGATGTGCTCCATGGATGCCTTAAATGCATTTTTTTCTCAAACTAGACTTTGGAAATGCGAACAGAATATTAGAGAACTTCTATTGTTCCATGAAAATTGTTTTTTGTCAAAAGTGTTCCTCCTGTAGGCTGTCTCTTTCAGTTCCAGGTCATTGCAAAGAAAAAACTTAAAGAGAAAGCACATTCATGGTACACTGACACTAGGTCAAGCACTCAAAATATTTTAGATTTCAAAATATATTTCAAAATATAATATCAAAGATTTTATTTTTCAAAAGTAACAGAGAAAATTGATGAGCAGAATGTGTATTGTGTATTTGGAGTTTTAAGAAAAGTTTTAGAGCCACATAAAATATTCCTTGAGTGGGTGCAGAGGAGATTTCCTAGAATGGTTCCAGGGATGAGGGATTTTAGGGACCAGGTTAAGTTGGAGAAAAGGAGATTGAAGAGTGTTTGGTGGAGGTATTCAAGTTTTTAACAGGTTTTATGTAAGGTAGACAAAGAAAAGCATCCCGTTCACTGACAGTACCAGCACTAGAAAACACAGAGCAAAGGTTGTAGGCATGAGTTGCCAGGGAAGACTTTTTATTGCACACTAGCTCGAAAAGTCTTGGAACCCGCTGCCTACAGAAAGTGGTGGAAGTGAAGACAATTAATGACTTCGAAAGGAATTTGGAAGGGAGCTTAAAGCAAATAAACTTGCAGAACTAAAGGCATAGAGTAGGTGAATGGGACTGATTGGAAGGCTGTACAGAGAATTGGTATGGAGTCACTATGCTGAATGACCTCCTTCCATACCATAATGAGTCTGCTGTGATTCTATTGAACAATTAACATCACTTCCTCTGGGTGTAAAATGTTTTTGTGTTCATGTGCAATTTAATCGATTTCCTATGATTGTAAACTGCTTTCTCGTTAAATTTCAATTTATGTCATTCAAAACAAGTCAGGGAAATAGACTGTTAAATGCTCCAGCAAGTTGGTGATCTAAGTTGTGAAACTAAGATTGACAACTAGTAATGCTAATGCAAACTTCACTAAAATGCACATGGAAAACTGCGGCGTGTAAAATAAATTTGATATGTGGTGTTTGTAGTATCAGGTGTCTGGTATTGAATAATATTGATTGTAGATCAGTAGTTAGATGGTCCTTTCGTGCATGTGCTCAGCTTGTGATGGAAGTCAAATTTCTTCTAAAATAAGAAACTAAAAAAGCTACAAATGCTAGAAATCTGAAACAAAAACAGAAATTGCTGGAAAAGCTTAGCAGGTCTGGCAGCATCTGGGGCGAGAAGTCAGAGTTTGCGTTTCTGGTCCAGTGACCCTTCTTCACAACAGGGTCTGTTTAATTTGTTCACACATCAGCCCACCTCGTGAACAAATTCCCATGAGACTCTACAAATCATCTCTCCCAATTCTTTTAAAATAAATTACCATAACTACAACAATGCATACAAGTTAATCATTAAACCCCTGCAGACACTCATATGCCACTCATTCAAAATTACAAAATAAATGATGTTAAAATGTATAGAAATCATGCACCTTACATCACAGTATGATTTTTTTAATTCTGTTTCACACTGAGTAGTAAACACAGATCTTAGGAGGTTTAGATAGAGTAGTAGGGTAAAATGCAAGAATCATTTAAAAAACGTTAGGATAGCTTGTAAGGAGAATCAAATTGATGAGCTGTAATGGGCTGAATGGCCTTTTTCCGATGTATACATTTTATGATTTGAGGCAATGCAAAGAAATTGGTTTTGGGCACAAATGTGACACAATAACAAATATCAGCGTGGATTAAAAAAGCATCTTTAACAGAAAAACGTTCCAAGGCATTTTAACAGAGCTTTCCAGAGTAAAATATGATACTGGTCCATCAGATTTGTAAACTTTGTAAGGAGTTTCCAGGGTAGATTGGTCGACTTTACAAATCTGAACTACTCCCGTTACAATGCAAGGAGCTTTTCAGTATTGTATAGTTTTCTTCATTGCTTTTTTCCCTGACTATTGTCATGGAAATACATGAAATGCCAAGAGATGTGCAATATTTTTCCAACTGTAGTAGTCTCAGTGAAATGTTTTACTCTTCAGGCATTGTTAACATTAATGTGACTGCAACTTTAATGTTTTTCAGCACTGAAAATGCAAATTATGAAGCCAGCAGCATTCTCAAATAAGTCCCGATACCCTTTGTTACTTATTGTGTGAGTATTATTTTAAACTTACGGTCAGAATGATGTTTAGCGATGAAAACATTTTAATTCTCCCAGTTATTGTATTCTGTACTCATTTATTTAGATGCCTACTTTTCCTTTACATATTAAATAGGAAAAATGGTCCAATGGTTCATCACTATTTTTCCTCAAATTATTTCTGAGTCTGTTGTAAGCTAATTAACAGAGATTGATTGCGGTGATTACTCAAAAACATTATTATCTTTCCAACATGCAACTTCCAGGGTCGTCGATGATGAACCCAATAGATTGTTGGTATTTTCTTCATCCTACAATTCCTATGTAGTTTAATTGTACGGAAGGGAGTGGTATTTTTATGGTAAAAACCAAAAGAACTGCGGATGCTGTAAATCAGGAACAAAAACAAAGTTGCTGGAAAAGCTCAGCAGGTCTGGCAGCATCTGTGGAGGAGAAAACAGAGTTAACGTTTCGGGTCTGGTGACCCTTCCTCAGAACTGGTGGTATTTTTTGTGGTATTTTTATGATGCTTGACCAATTCAATGCTTTATGCACAAAACGACAACTATCAAAAATACTTGGATTAAAGTACAGACTCCTATTATGTGAAGTTACTTTTGGGGACAGAGGGACTGTTATCCAGGTGCAACTATGCTCGATTCAACCCAGTAGAAGCAGTGACTCAGATCATCAGTTGACCTGTTTTATTTAATAACATTAATTGAGGGAGGAATGTTGACAGGCTACTGGGCAGCTGGTATTGTAGGATGATAAATGATATTGAAGGTATATCTCTATTTAAAAAAAATCCCTGCAATTAATTCATTGCCTGGAATTTATGCAGTTCTGCCAATCAGATTTAGATCAAGGTTGTATGAGCTTCTTTCACCATGGGACTGCTGTAACCTCCTAGTTCCTCTCCATCCTGACTTGGGAACATGTACTGTCATTCCTTTATTGATACTAGGACAAAAGCCTGAAGCTACCTACTGCAAAACACTGTGGTTGTCCCTACACCGTACAAACTGATGCAGTGCAAGGTGAAGGTTCTCCAATGCATTCTTGAGGGTGACTAGCAATAGGCAATAAATTCTGGCCTTGTCAGTGAGACTCACATTGCAAAAATGAATAATAAAATATGTGTAACTGGTCTGAATGCTATTGCAGTGCTCAGGCTTAAATTTAAAAAAAGATTTATCATGGAGTCTATGCCTTTGTGTTGAAAATTTAAAATAGAAAGGTGATTAATAATACTTTAGAGCCTCCTAAATATAACAGCTTCCAGTTTAAGCAGGTTGCTGATTGCATTGAAATAATATGCAGCTTAATGTGAATGTGTTAACTAGAGTGTAAAACAACTCCCAGAGGAAATTAAGCCCTATGCCCCATTACCTCAGCATTTAATTTGAGGTACATGTAACATTCAGCACCGAAGGAGATAGATGAGCAGCATCTTGAGACATTTTTATATTGGGAGCTATATTTTGGCGTTTGTGAGATCGGCATCCTTGTGACAGTTCCATGATCACATGTAATTCCATTATTGCAAAGGGATGTTCATAGGTTTTTCATTTTGTTGTTGATATAAGGAAGCTGGACTAAACAGTATAAACACCAGGAACTAATTCCTGGATCATGCACAATTGGAATTAAAGCAATAATAGTGTACCAGTGACAATAGACCTTTCTTTCAGCTGTTTAGCTGTATTGGCATTGAATTATACAGCGCTGAAGGAGGCTATTTGCCAATTGAACCTGTACCAGTGCTATCCAATTAATCGAATTCCCATCATACATTTTTTTCCTGCAAATGTTTCCCCAAGTAATTCACTTGTGAAAATTAATATTGATTATACTTTCTGTGCCTTATCTTTCAGGCAGTATATTCATGATCCTAACAACACTTTGCATAAAAGTAATAACCACAACTGGTGAATGAATTTGTCTTTTCCTTACTTCCAGTGGTGATAGTCCTGGTAGCCAGATTGTCACAGAGCAATTCCAAGTAGATTGGGCAACTGTGCTAGTGAGTTCATTCAACACCATTGTGGTAAAATTCGATGGTCGTGGCAGTGGTTTCCAAGGCACTAAACTGCTGTACGAAATAAAGAGAAATCTGGGCATAGTGGAAGTAAAGGATCAAATAGATGCACTGAAGTAAGTACCTTTCAATGCGGTACACTTTTGAGTTAAATAACCATTTATACCAAAGATTATCTCAGATTGTTCTTTCATGTAACCTGATCATTGATTTTGCTGTTAATGCCTGAGTTTGGTGGTGAGCTGAGGTTTGTAAATTTTGCCTGGGTACCTGATGCCTGAGTCTTGCGATCCAGTGTGTAGTGCCCTACCTCTGAACTAGAAGCTCTGGGTTCAAGACCCACTACGTGGCTTGATCACTCCACAGTTTGATGAACATTTATAGTGTGCATACAGGACATGGCCAAACAGATTGAGTATCCACTTACAAATGGCTTGTTAGTACGGAACACAAACATTGCTAAGAATGGATAGAGAGTCAAAGATTTTCTGATTGTCGTATGATTGAATTCTGCACTTAGTTTGACAAAGGGGAATGTTTTAACATAAGTAAGAGTGGCTATGAGGATGTGAAGACAGAGCTGGCTAAAGTCAACTGGGAAACTAGGTTTCGGTCAGCAGAAAGTACAATGGCAGATATTTAAGGAAATATTTCAGAATATTCAGAAAATATACATTCCAGTGAGAAAAAGTAGATCTTAAGGGGAACCATGCACCTTCCCAGATGCAAGTGTTTCTGATGCCCATGCACAGCAGTAATTTCTGGAACCACAAATCAATGCTGCGAACAGTGTGCTGATGCTAATTGCCATGCATGGAAGCTTGGCGTATCTGCACACGTGCGCAGCCATGCAGCTTACAGGGAATGTTACTTCCATGGCTAATTAAGGAAGTTTAAGATAGTATCAAATGGAAAAAGAAAAAGGCATTATACTACAAAGACGAGTGACAGGTCAGAAGAATTGAGAAAATACAAAGAATAGCAAAGAATAACAAAATGTTTAATAAGGAAGGGGAAATTAGAGTATGAGAGAAAGCCTGCTTGAAATACAAATAAACGTAGTAAGAGTTCCTACAGGTATTTAAAAAGGAAAAGTGTAATTAAAGTGTGTGTTGCTGCTCTAGAGAGAGAGTCTGGGTGATGAATAACAAAAAAACAGGGAAATGGCAGGTGATTTAAGTATGCATTTTGCATCAGCCTTCACTGTAGAGGATGCAAGTAGCATCCCAGAAATAATTGTGCATCAAATTGTGAAAGGGAGACAATTTCAATGCCAGGGAAAGAATGCTGAGAGAATTAATTGAACTAAAATCAGACAAGTCTCCTAGCTTTGAGGGAGTCATTCAAGGGGCTGTTAAAAGTTGCTGGGGTAATTGATTGATTTTGATTTTCCAGTATTCCCTAGATTCTGTCTAAAATAGTTAAAACTCTTGCCAACTGAAGTATTCTATTAAAGACGGAGTTGAATTTCTGGTATAATCAGGCACAGGAGAGACAGACGGGTTTAGACAACATAGCTAAAGAGTATTAGCATGCAGGGTAGTCTGACTTTAAGTGACTATGGTCAAGAAGTCAGAGATACCTATGTTTGATGGAGTTTACTTAATTTTATGTGAGAGTTGGAAGAGATTTGAAGGAGCATTCTTGCTGGCAGTAAAGAAAACTGAAGGAATCTTAGACTAAGAATCACCAACATAGAATCCAGAACAATGTATTCATCTTCCAAAATTAGAATTAACTGGAAAAATAATCATCAGGTCTGGCAGCATCTGTGGAGAGAAAGCAGAGTTATTGTTCCAGGTCCAATAACCCTTCTTCAGAACTGTTTTTTTTTAAAGTAATCTTCCAAGTTTTCATAGATACCTGACTTGATATCTTTTGAGTGTATGTTTAATGGATATAGAAAGAATGTGGAATTAAGACATCAGGGCAGGACTTACACACTTAATGGTGAGGTCCTGAAGACTGTTGCCAAATAAAGAGACCTTGGGGGGTGCAAGTGCATTGCTCCTTGAAAGTGGAGTCACAGGTAGATAGGATAGTGAAGAAGGCAGTTGGTACCCTTGCCTGTATTGGTCAGTGCATTGAGTATAGGAGTTGGGAGGTCATGTTGTAGCTGTACAGGACATTGGTTAGGCCATTTTTGGAATATTGCATTCAATTCAGGTCTCCCTGCTATAGGAAGGATGTTGTTAAACTTGAAAGGGTTCAGAAAAGATTTACAAAGATGTTGCCAGGGTTGGAGGGTTTGAGCTATAGGGAGAGGCTGAATAGGCTGGGGCTATTTTCCCTGGAGCATCGGAGGCTGAGGAGTGACCTTATAGAAGTTCATAAAATCACGAGGGGTATGGATAGAGTGAATAGCCAACATCTTTTCCCCAAGGTAGGAGAATTCAAAACTAGAGGGCATAGGTTTAAATTGAGAGCTTAAAGATATAACAAGGAGGAAAGGGGCTTTTTTTTTCATGCAGATGGTAGTGTATGTAAGGAATAAGCTCCTAGAAGAAGTGGTGGGGTCTGGTATAATTGCAATACTTAAAAAGCATCTGGATGGGTACATGAATAGGAAGCGTTTAGAGGGATATGGGCCAAATGCTGGCAAATGGGATTAGATTTATTTGGGATATCTGGTTGGCATGGGTGAATTGGACTGAAAGGTTTGTTTCTGTGCTGTACGTTTCTATGACTATTGATTTGTTGTATAATTAAGATGATAAGGTCTAGGAGCAGAAATAAGCTATTCAGCCCTTTTAATTTGTTCCACTATTCAATGACTAATTTGGTAATCTTCAACTCCAATTTCTTGCCTTTTCCCTACAACCCTTGATTCCCTTAATGTTTAAAAATCTGTCTTTCTCAGCCTTAAATATACCTATTGACACAGTCTCAACAGCCCTCTGCTGTAAAGAATTCCATAGATTCGCCATCTTCTGAGAGAAGAAATCCCCTTACATGTGTGACTCACTTATCCTGAGATTATACCCTCCGGTGCTAGACTCTCCCAAAAAACAATGTCTCTGCATCTACTCTGTCAGGTCCCATAAGAAGTGTTGTGTGTTTCAATGAGTTCACCTCTCATTCTGCTAAACTCTGATGAGTACAGGCCCAACATATTTGACATCTCCTCATAAGTCCCTCCATATCTGCTATCAGCCTGGTGAACTATCACTGGACTGCCTCCAATGCTAGTATATCTTCCATTAGGCGAGGAATTCACAGTATTCCAGTTAAGGACTGACGAGTGCCTTGTGTAGTTTTAGTAAAACCTATTTACTTCTATATTCTAAGATAGTAAGAGCTACAGATGCTGGAGTCAGAGACAATACAGTTGGGGGAACTGGGGGAACACAGCAGGCCAGGCAACATCAGAGGAGCAGGAAAGCTGATGTTTTGGGTATTTTAAATTTCGTATTAAATTTTGTATTAGAAGAAGAATCATGTAGAGAAGAAGGGCCTTTCTGAAGAAGGGTCCCGACCTGAAATGTCAGCTTTCCTGCTCCTCTGATGCTGCCTGGCCAGCTGTTTTCCTCCTGCTCCACACTATGTTATTTCTATATTCTATTCCCTTTGAAATAGAGGCTTTGAAATTGTGTTCCCTATTAATTTCTGAGTCTGGATGTTAGCTTTTTGTGACACATGCACTAGGACCGCCAAATCCCTCTGTGCTGCTATTTTCCATTTAAACAATCTTCTATACCTCCTACCAAAGTGCATAGCCTCACATTTTCCCACCTTATATTCCATGTGCTAAGATTTTGCCCACTCACCTAACCTGTGGGTCTGGGTGGGATTAACTTCGGAGGTACGGTGTGGACGCAATGGGCTGAATGGCCTGTTTCCACAGTGTAGGAATTCTGTGATTCTAAGTATATGTTCCGGTGAGAAAAAGTAGGTCTTAATGCAGAGCTCTTTGTGTTAGCCTCACCACTTGCCTTCCCATCTATTTTTTGTGTCATCCACAAGCTTGGCAGAAGTCATAGAATTCCTGTGGAAACAGGCCCTTCGGCCCAACAAGTTAACACCAACCCTCAGACCATCCCACCCACACCCATCCCCCTGGAACCCACCTAATCTGCACATCCCTGAACACTGTGGGGCAATTTAGCATGGCCAACCCACCCAGCCTGCACATCTTTGGACTGTGGGAGTAAACCGGAGCACCTGGAGGAAACCCGCGCAGACACAGGGAGAATGTGCAAACTCCACACAGACAGTTGCCCAAGGGTGGAATCGAAGCCGGGTCCCTTGTGCTGTGAGGCACCTGTGCTAACCACTGAGCCACTGTGCCACCTATTCACTTTTCTCTTTTCTCATCCATGTTGTTAATATATATTGCAAACAGTTGTGGCCTCAGCACATTTTGCTGTGGCACACCATATACCGAAAATGCCCCCTTTATCCCAACACTCTGTCTTCTTGACAGATTACTTAACTAATCTTTTATCCATGCTAATATATTACCTCCAGCACCATGGGATCTTACCTTATTAAGCAGCCCAATGTGTGGTACCCTACTTAGTGCCTTCTAAAATTTCCAATATATCATGTCCACAACTTCTCCTATACTGATGCTGCTTGTTAATCTTCTCGAAGAATTCTAGTAAATTTGTCAGGCGTCATTTCCCTTTCATGAAGCCACGCTGAATCAGCGAGATCATTGTGCACATTTCTAAATGCTTTTCCATTACATTCTTTATAATATAGTGGAAGTCTTTAAAATCATGAAGGCTCTGGAGATAAAAAGAAACTGTTATCTTAGTGAAAGAATTGAGAACCCAGAGGGCACAGGTTTAATGCAATTGACAAATGTAATAGCAGTGATGTGAGGAAAAACACAGCTAGTGATTAGAGTCTGGAATGCTGTGCCTGAGAGGGTGATGGAGACAGGTTCAATCTAGACATTCAAAAAGCAATTATCAGAAAAAGAAATATGTTACAGGGGTTATGAAGAGAAGCCAAGGGTGTGGCACTGGGTAGATTACACCTTCAGAGGGTCAGCACAGACACCATGGGCATTGCAATCATTCTGTGATTCTATAATGGAATTTATCAACCCCAGGGCACCGTTGCTGATCCCATTGAGCTTTGGAGGGTAATAATCTATGAAACTGTGGTTTCCTTATGTATTTCTTCCAATACCGTGAGGGTAAAATCAGCCATTGCCAGAGAGTTCTCTAAATCTCTGAACCTATTATTTTCTCCATGGCTTTTTTTTTAAAGTTATGTTCAAACCATTGAGTTTATCTCAAAGCCTTATTTCGCATCTTTCTTGTACTGCTGTTATTTTATGCAACTCAGAAAGTTATGACATTTGACAAAATAAAACAGGCTCTTTCAGATTTCTCAGTTTGATCTGTTCTGTGTTTCCATTTCAGGAGCCTCCTGAAGGAAGATTACATTGACCCAAACAGAGTTGGTGTTTTTGGGGAGGTAATGTATTTATCAGACTGTTTTTAATATATATTTTCTTCATCAAATTTTGATGTGTATCCAGGAGCTGGAAAAGCACGTTTCTTAGTTCTACAGCACTCCTGACACCTGTCCTACCCCTCCCCACCTCACCCACCCTCTCTGGCACTAATCAGAGATTACTGCCAGTAATGCAGCCAGCCCATTATTTACTTGCTGTCAAAGGAAAAGCAGCTGAAGGCATGTTAGGCGTGTGTGTGTGTGTGTGTGTGTGTGTGTGTGTGTGTGTGTGTCTAAGGGTGTGTGGGTGTTAGAGAGTGTATGTATGTGTGTGTTTGAGATAGAATGTGTGTGTGTGTGAGAGAGAGAGAGAGAGACTGTGTGGATATGTGTGTTGTGGCCATATAGCTATACTATGTAGCATTGGGGAATTCCTACCACTCAGGGGAGTCTTCTGTCTCGTCCATGATCCCTAAAAGGCACATCAGCTGCTGCCGAACAAATCAGCTTTATAGGAGCGTCCCCTTGTGAATGAAGATTGCTGCTGATAGAATGAATTTTAATGCTGTTCTCTGAAATCGTATATACAATGGTGGGGGGAGCATTAAATCTCTACGGGTGGTCAAGGAAGCCTCCTGCATCCTATGATGGAGTCTCCCCACATACAACCTGTGCTCCCGAGCCGCCAGTGTTTTCTGATGATGGAAAAGTGCCTTTTGTTTCATTCATGGGATGATGGCATTGCTGGCTAGGCCAGCATTTATTGCCCATCCCAATGGGCAGTAAAGAGTCAAATACATGGCTGTGTGTCTGGAGTCACATGTCAGCCAGACCAGGTAAGGATGGCAATTTCCTTCCCTAAAGGGCATTAGTGAACCAGGTCGGTTTCTTTCCTGGCAATCAACAATGGGTTCATGGTCATTGTTAGACTCTTAATTCCAGATATTTTATTGAATTCAAATTCCACCATCTGCCATGGTGGGATTTGAACCCAGGTCCCCAGAATATTACCTGGGTGTCTGGATTAACAGTCCAGCAATAATACCACTAGGCCATCATTGATTTGGCAGGCTTGATTTACATGCTTTCAGGTGATGCCAGTGCCAGTTGGGTTGGAACAGGCCTGCTCACTGCTGCAGAGGGGTACAGTGGTGGTAAGGGGGAAGGGCTCTTCCTGCAGAAAGAACACTTAACTTTCCCATTCTTAAAACAAATCCTTTTCTGACCAAGAGTTCCAACAAACCCCAGGCTGGTTCTTCTGGCTGGAACCCACATGTACCCGATGATGGGCTAGTCATGTTCCTCTGAGATCTGTCCACAATGGGACTTCCTGGTATTTCAAGTCCTCAGGCCCACATGCTGCACCCCTCTCTCACTCATCCTGCTGCCATCAACTGGCTTGGAATAGGAGCTCTGCACCTCAAAAGGCCCCTTTGTAATCCCACAACATTATGCCAGAGTTACAGCCAGCGTGTGCCAGTAAACCTGTGAATATTCAGCCCCAATTTATTCTTCTGTGCTAACAATGGTTACTTTATCCCATCATATGAAAATAAAATGGTCACTAGCAGTGCCACGACATAGTGTGCATGGTAACCATTTTTACTCCCTCCACCTCTAATACATGGGGGTAACCATGTGAACTATCTACAAATTGGTATCATCCTGATCAATCTGCCTGGTCTGAGTTTAATCAGCTTATTAAGAATGACATTTGACATGCCACCAATGGTCCAACTCATCAGCACCTTTTGTAATGTTCATATAAATTGGTGTTCCCTTTCTAAATTTGGTTCTCGTATCCTGGTCCTGATGACTGCATTTGAAAAACTTTGACCACATGTCTCTTTTTAGTAATACTTAAGATTCTGCACTACAAAACAATTATTTCATCTATAGGATGCACTGCAGCAACTCACCAAGTTTCTGTTGACAACATCTTTCAAACCTATTTCCACCTTGAAAATCATGAGCGCTGTATACATAAAAACACCCCCATCTGCAACTTTCCTTTCCAGTCACATGTGGTGCTGTCTTGGAACCAACTTGCGATTCCTTCATCATTACCATATCAAAATCCTGGAATTCTATATCCAATGGCACTGCAGGAATACCTACACACGATTCCAGTAGTCGAAAAAGGCACCTTATGACCACCTTTCAAAGGCAATTAGGTACAGGCAATAAATCCTGGCCTTACTCAAGCTTGAAGAATGCGTTGAGAAAAACGTTGTATTTAAGAATTGTTCAACGTAGGGATCTTGAGAGCGATTGGAGACGCATCACTAAAGTCCCACAGTGATTCCATTGGCCAATATAAGCTGCTGCAATTGTCTTTTATTTATATTCGCTCATTGTACTTAGGTATCACTGATTGACCAGCATTTATTACCCTTCCTTAGTTGCCCTTGAGAAGGTAATGGTGAGCTGCCTACTTGAACCACTGCAGTTCACGTGCTCGGGGTTGACCCACAGTGTCCTTAGGGAAGAAATTCCAGGATTTTGACTCAGTGACTGAGGGAACGGTGATATATTTCCAAGTCAGGATGGTGAATGGCTTGGAGATGGTGGTGATCCCATATAGCTGCTGTCCTTGTCCTTCTAGATGGAAGAGGTCATGGGTCTGGAAAGTGCTGCCTAAGGATCTTTGGTGAATTTCTGCAATGCATCTTGTAGGTGGTACACACTGCTACTACTGAGTTTTGGTGGTGAGGGGAGTGGATGCTTGTGGATGCGGTGCCAATCAAGTGGGCTGCTTTGTCTTAGATGGTGTCAAGTCTCTGAAAGTTGTGGTAGCTGCACCAATCCAGGCAAGTGGGGAGTATTCCACCCTATTTCTGACTTGTGCCTTGTAGATGATGGACAGGTTTTGGAGAGTCAAGAGGGGAGTTACTCACCATAGTATTTCTAGCCTCTGAATTACTCTTGCAGCCACTGTATTTATGTGGCAAGTCCAGTTTAGTTTCTGCTCAAAAGTAAACCCAAGGATGTTGATAGTAGGGGACTCATGATGTTGTGCTGATGGTTAGATTGTCTCTTATTGAAGATTTTCATTGCCTGGCATTTGTGTGGAGTGATTATTATCTGCCACTTGTCAGCCCAAGCCTGGAAAATACTCAGGTCTTGTTGCATATGACCATGGATTGCTTCAGTATCTGAGGAGTTGTGAATGGTGCTGAACATTGTGCAATCGTTGGTGAATATCCCTACTTCTGATCATATGATGGAGGGAAGGTCATTGATGAAGTGGCTGAAGATGGTTGGGCCTAGGACACTACCCCGAGGAACTCCTGCAGTGATGTCCTGGAGCTGAGATGATTGACCTCCAATAACCACAACCATCTTTTTATGTGTCAGATATGACTCCAACCAGTGGAGAGTTTGCCCCCTGATACCCATTGATTGCAGTTTTTCTTGACCTCCTTGATGCCCCACTCAGTTGAAGTCAATAACAAGGGGAAAGCTTTACAATCCAACAAGAATAGATAACATGTTTACATAATGACAAGAAAATGTCATGATAATTCCAGTGTGTTCGTGAGCAGCTTGAAATGGACTTGACAAGAATTATCTCTTTGTCTATTGACACAATGCTGTATGCACTTAAAGTGTGAATTACGTTATGTGGAATATTGACTTTTTGTGTTTGCTTTCTGTAGGCTTATGGTGGTTACTTGAGTTTGATGCTGCTTACCACAGAAAAAGAATTTGATAAAAAAAATACCGTATTCAAGTGCGGAATAGCACTTTCTCCAATCACAGACTTTAAACTCTACGGTAGGTGTCAACTTACAAAATTCACTGTGCCAGCCCATCTGAAACTGTGAGCTGCCAGTTCAACAATGCCAGTGTTCTCTTGGTTAACTTGTAACTTCTATTACCTTCGAAACTTTGCTTATTTTCTACCACACAAAGCACCATGCATCCATTACTCCTGGTCTATGTTGATCCCCTTCCTCAAACTCAAAACTCTCAATGTTTAAACGCCTTTTTTGTTCTCACCCTTTAAGACCTGTGTCACCTTCCAGCCCAAGAGCCCCACATAATCCCTGACCCTTTGACATCTTCCCCTCCCTTCGTCTCACCATTGACGACAGTGATTTCAACCCTCCAGGCCTGTAATTGAAATTCCTTCCCTAAGCCTCTGCACATCCCTCTCCAGCAGCAATGCCTTCTTTTGATCAAGCTTCTAGGTATCCCTCCAGACCTGTTCTCTCTTACACCTCTGCAAAGTGGTGTGCTTTGTTTACCTTGATTTTCACAAGTTATGGCTCATTGGCTTGGTTACTGTAAAATAAGTGTTTCTGTTAGTCTGTACTGTGCTCTATGCTCTGATTGAATAGGCACACCAAAAGCAAAATAACTAAGTGGTGAGATAACAAGGTGTAGAGCTGGATGAACACAGCAGGCCAAGCAGCATCAGAGGAGCAGGAAAGCTGACATTTCGGGCCTAGATCCTTCTTCAGAAATGGGTGAGGCGAAAGGGGTTCTGAAATAAATAGGGAGAGAGGGGGAGGCGGATAGAAGATGGATAGAGGAGAAGATAGGTGGAGAGGAGGCAGACAGGTCAAAGAGGCGGGGATGGAGCCAGTAAAGGTGAGTGTAGGTGGGGAGTTAAGGAGGGGATAGGTCAGTCCAGGGAGGATGGACAGGTCAAGGGAGCGGGATGAGGCTAGTAGGTAGGAGATGGGGGTGGGGCTTGAGGTGGCAGGAGGGGATAAGTGGGAGGAAGGACAGGTTAGGGAGGCGGGGACAAGCTGGGCTGGTTTTGGGATACAGTCGGGGGGAGGGGAAATTTTGAAGCTTGTGAAGTCCACATTGATACCATTGGGCTGTAGGGTTGCCAAGCGGAATATGAGGTGCTGTTCCTACAACCTTCGGGTGGTATTGTTGTGGCACTGCAGGAGGCCCAGGATGGACATGTCATCTGAGGAATGGGAGGGGGAGTTGAAATGGTTCGCGACTGGGAGGTGCAGTTGTTTAGTGCGGACCGAGCGTAGGTGTTCCGCAAAGCGGTTGCCAAGCCTCCGCTTGGTTTCCCCGATGTAGAGAAGGCCACAATGGGAACAGCGGACACAGTATACCACATTAGCAGATGTGCAGGTGAACATCTGCTTGATGTGGAAAGTCTTCTTGGGGCCTGGGATGGGGGTGAGGGAGGAGGTATGGGGGCCGGTGTAGCACTTCCTGCAGTTGCAGGGAAAAGTGCCGGGTGTGGTGGGGCTGGAGGTGAGTGTGGAGCGGACAAGGGAGTCTCGGAGAGAGTGGTCCCTCCGGAAAGCAGATAAGGGTGGGGAGGGAAAAATGTCTTTCATGGTGGGGTCAGATTGCAGATGGCGGAAGTGTCGGAGGATGATGCATTGGATAACTAAGTGGTGGTTCGTTATTGCAATCGGCTGGAACAAAGTCATAAAGACTGTTTTATTTCTTATACTTTATTTTATTTCAGTAAAGGCTGTTTATTTGACTCCTGGATTGACTATATTTCCTTAAATGTTGGACCAGTAAAAATACATCCTAGCCTTTAGGAGATGTTAAACCCAGTTACAAGGTTGGATTTCAGTGCTGCTTTATGAAAAAGATAGGAGGGAATTGGACAATTCAACCCAAAGGCTAAAAATGGGACTAATGATTTTTATGCAGCTATACCAGATGGGTGATGCGGTAGAATTAAGTAGTAGCAGTAGAGCAGAAGCACAATTTAAACTAGCAAAAGATAAATTTAGAATTGATATCCATTTTTTTTAACAAGCAGTGATCAACATATAGATTAAACTTATAGACTTAGAATAAACAACGTATAGAATAAACTTCTAGAGAGTTTAATGAAGACTATAAGTCTGGAATCAGTTAGGAAATAATTGGATGCTGAAGTGAGCAGCGTTTAATTGTTTTTTGAATGCAAAAATTTAGATCAACCAAATAGCCTTTCTCATGTATAGTTGCCCATGATCTTGTGAGTGAGGCTAAGCTCTGCATGACTTCCCTCCTTACTTCGAGTTTCCTGATGTTAAACCTGTGTTCCTTGTTTTGAACCCTGTCGTCATGATAGGAGCATAGGAACAGAAAGAGGCCATTCAGTTCCTCGAGCCTGTTCTATTATTCAGTGAGATCAAGGCTAATTTGTGGCCTAACTCCATAAACCTACTGTAGTGATTGTAATGAGGTCAGCCAGGTGGACCTCATAGAATATGAGCTCCCTGATTGAGGCTGTTAACCTGGTCCAATCAGGGAGCCCTGGCTGACAGATATAAAACAGGAGTGTCAAAGGTTCTGTTCGCTCAGAGAGCTGGCTCTGAGGGAGCTGGATCAGTGTCAAGGACTCTCCATCTGTAAATATAAAGGGTGACTTGGTAGCAGGATACCGGCCCCTTGGAGTTATTTTACCTACCTTTGGCCTATATTGCTTCATACCTTTACTTAACAAAAACATTCTCTTTCTCAAATTTAAAACTAACAACTAATCCAACATCCACTGCCATTTGTGGAAGAACATTGTCAACATCTACCACCCTTTATTTAGCAAAGTGCTCCCTAACATCTCTGCTGAATGGTCTGGCCCTAATTCTTGACTAGTTCTAGAATCGTCAACCAGTAGAAACAGTTTATCTTCATCTACTCTGTCTTTTCCTGTTTATGTCTTGAAGACATCAATCAGATCACCCCTTAACCTTCCAAATTCTCGAGAAAACTGGTCTAATTTGTATAATTTCTCCTCATGACTGAAGCCCTGAAGCCCAGGTGTCATTTTTATTAACCTACATTGTACTGCTTCCAAGGTCAATATATCCTTCCTAAGGTTTGGAGCACAAATCTACTCCCAACATTCCAGGCGAGGTCTAACTAGGGTTTTGTATAATTGCAGCATAACTTCTGCAACCTTATACTCTAGTCCTCTAGATATGATGGACTACTCGCCTGGATAAAGGCATGTCCATTCCACTCTCAACCTCCAAAACCTCTATTAAAAAAAGTACTTTATTTGCCAAGGCAACAAGCCTAATATATTGGTAAAAGGTATTCTATTATTATCCTGGGGTCTGAATTTTCCAGGCAGTCATATACTTTATGAATCCGCCCTTTTATAGTTTGATGTTCACTCACTGCAACATTAAGATCAATCCTAATATTTATTATGAGTAGCCAGATCACTGGGTGGATCCTTCCTTCCTATCTCTGAGACGTATTGGTATAACCAGTAACCCAGCTGAGGGTCAGCTGAGTACAAGATAGATCAGCACTGGTGGTAAAACCAGATCAACCATTGGGAACAAAAACAAAGTTGCTGGAAAAGCTCAGCAGGTCTGGCAGCACCTGTGAAGGAAAAAACAGAGTTAACATTTCGGGTCTGGTGACCCTTCCTCAGAACCATTGGGAAGCTTGGGTTCCCATCTTTAACTCAATCCCAACTTTGATCATGCGGAAACGAATAAATCCAGAACTGGCTTCTCGTGAGATTACATTCAAACATGTCACATATTTGTATAACTTTCTGCCATTTTGACAGAGGTTGTATTTGCTGAAATTATGGATGTATGCATGCGTGTTATTCACTGGTGTATCCACTGTCACAATCTCTCTGTTGATTTGTAAAATCGATACTTCCTCCTCCCCAGTGCAGACAAATGAGGGAGATGATTGTAAAACAAACAACTGTGGATGCTGGAAATCTGAAACAGAAACAGAAATTACTGGAGAGACTCAGCAGGTCTGGCAGCATCTGTGGCGAGAGAAGCAAAGTTAATGTTTCAGTTCCAGTGACCCTTCTTCAGAACTGATGGTAGCTAGGAAAAGGTTGGTATATATGCTGAAGATAGGGATGGGTTGGGTGGGGGTTAAAGGAGTAAGTGAAAGGTGGAGATGAAGCACAGAGGAAGAGAAACACAGTTAGACAGACAAAGGGATGGATAATGGTGAGCCAGGGAGAAAGAAAAACTGATAATGGGAACTATAAGAATATGAAAATGGGTTGGCTGTGCTGAAAGCAGTCAATGTCATGGTAGGGCCTGGGGTGTTGGGGTGACTAAAAGACATGGATGAAGGTGTTCAGGCCCTAAGGATACTGCAGTGCTCCATTGAAGCTCAGCGCAAGCTGGAAGAACAGCATCACATTATCCACTGGGGACCCTGTAGCCTTCAGGACTCAATATCAAGTTCAATAATTTTAGGGCATGGACACCTTCTTCCATGTCATTTACCAATTCCCATATCCCAGGCCCCGTCATAACGTGGGCTGCTTTCAGCACAGCCAAGCCATTTTCACCTACTAATGGTTCCAATTATCAGTTTCTCTTTCTCCCTGGCTCACCATTATCCATGAAAACTGAAAGAACCATGGATGCTGTAGATCAGGAACAAAAGCAGAAGTTGCTCGAAAAGTTCAGCAGGTCTGGCAGCATCTGTGAAGAATAATCAGATTTCACTTTTCGGGTCCAGTGACCCTTCCTCAGAACTGTTCTGGACCCAAAACATGAACTCTGATTTTTTTCTTCACAGATACTGCCAAATCTGCTAAGCTTTTCAAGCAACTTATGTTTTTGTTCACCATTATCCATACCTTTGTTTGTCTAACAGTCTTTCTCTTCCTCTGGGTTCCATCACTTACTTCTTTATCCCCCCCACCTCCACCTCTGTGTTCAGGATATATACCAACCCTTTCCTACCTACCATCAGTTCTGAAGAAGGGGCACTGGACCTGAAACATTAATTCTATTTCTCTTGCCACAGATGCTGCCAGACCTGCTGAGTTTCTCCAGAAATTTTGGGTTTTTGAGAAGATTATTATTTTAGCTTTCTGTTTAGCTCTGCAGCTTTTCTTCGCACATCTGACCTGCCATTTCTTTCTTCACAGCCTCAGCATTCACCGAGCGATATTTTGGTACGCTCAGCAGAGCTGACAGAGGTTATGGGGTAAGTTCCATGAAATCTCATCTAAGTCTTTGGACTCTCTTCCTCTCGTTAAATATAAATGGACAGAACCTTTCACTGGATTTTTCACTCAATGTCCTGCACCTGAGCACAAAACCAGGACAAACCCCCTTTTGTTTGAGTTTGATAATGGAATGGGTGCCTCAGTCTCCACAATGCACCCAAATGCTAGAAGGATAGAAATTTTCTTGGTAACATTGATGTGCTGTCCTCCCTTTGACTATATTTTTGTTTCCTTTTCTTCTTAGGCATTTCAGCCACTGTACAGATAAGCATTTCATGAAGTATACAGAGCATTCCATTTGTTAATAATTCTACATTCTTCTCTCACATCCCTTTAATTGAGAAGGTTTGGCAGATAGCTTTAATCTATCTTCCCTGAATATTTAGCTCAGTGGTCCGAAAGGGTCAGTGAGTTTAATTGAATGTCATTGAAGCCATCACAGTACCTGCCTGTAATTATGAATGTCACATTAAGAATATAACTTTGTTGAATTGCACAAAGTGGGGGGCACGCAATAATTTTTTAGACTTCTACAGTAATGCATTGCTTGCTATTCTAAAAGACCTTTTGAAACGTTTGAGGTATTAAACCCATCTGCCTGCTCAGATGGATGCTATAGATCCCAGGGCGCTGTTTTGAAGGAGAGCAGAAGTGTTATCACTGGTGTGTTGGCCAGTATATATCCCTCAGTTAACACCACTTACAGTACAATTATCTGGTCATTAAGGTTTTGGAGTAGATCTGTAGCTCAGGTTGTGGATGTTGTGGTTGGTTGGCTCGCCAAGCTGGTTCGTTGTTGTGCAGACGTTTCATTATCTGGTCATTAGCACATGCTGGTTTGGGGACCTTGCTGCAGACAAATCATTAAATCATACAGGAGAGGTCCTTCAGCCCATCAAGTCCAGGATGTAACATAGCAAAGTTGATAAGGGGAAACCAATGGATATGGTTTATTTGGGCTTTCAAAGGGCCCATGTAAGAGGTTAGCACTCACATTAAAAGCATGTGGGATTGGGGGGTAATATTCATGGATAGAGAACTGGGATGTTGGCAGACAAGAAACAAAGAGCAGGACAAAACAGGTCTTTCTCAGGCAGTGAATATTGAGGTACCGCAGGGATCAGTGCTTGGACCCCAGATCCTCACATTATGGAACAATGATTTAGATGAGGGAACTAAATGTAATAGCTCCAAGTTTGGAGGCAACTTTAAAATTGAGTGGGAGGGTTGTGATTTGGACAGGCTGAGTGAGTGTGTAAATGTATGACAGATGCAGTGTAATGTGGACAAATGTAAACTTAGCCACTTTGGAAACAAAAACAGGAAGGCAGATTATTAAATGAATAGTAATAGATTGGGAAAGGGGGAGGTGCACTGAGAACTGGGTGTCCTTGTGCACCAGTCTCTGTAGGACCAGCAGGCAGTGAAAAAGGCAAATGGTACATTGTCCTTCATAGTGAGAGGATTCGAGTACAGGAGCAGGGATGTCTTATTGCAATTGTACAGAGCCTTAATGAGACCACACTGGATTATTGTCTCCTTATCTGAGGAAGGACCATTCCTACTATAGAGGGAGTGCAATGAAGATTTACCAGACTAATTCCTGGGATTACAGAACTGACATATGAGGAGAGACTGGATCAGTTAGGACTGTATTCACCAGAGTTTGGAGGAATGAGGGGGAGGTCTCCTAGAGATGTATAAAATTCTAACGGGATGAGACAGGGTAAATGCAGGACATTCTCAATGACCTGCGGGTCTCGAACCAGGATCACAGTCTAAGGATGCAGGTAAACCATTTAGGACTGAGATGAGGAGAAATTTCTTCACCCAGAGGGTGGATTTCTCTGCCACAAAAAGCAATTAAGGCTGAAACATTTTTCAAGAAGAAGATAGAAATAGTTCTTAATGCTAAAGGGATCAATGGGTATGACGCGAAAGCAGGAACAGGGCAGTGAGTTGGATGATCAGCCATGATCATATTGAATGGCAGAACAGGCTTTAAGGGCTAATTAACCTACACCTGCCCTATTTTCTATGTTTCCAGTACGATGCATAGATGAAGTGTTGTTGCAACTTTACTAGGTGTGTTCTAAAGGCTTTTTGATGAATTAATCATTTTATGCAGTTTTAGCTTGGTAAAGGTAAAGTCACCATAATCTTACCAGACCATAGGACTGCTCTCCCATTGGAGAGAAGTGAGTGGTGATGGTTTAACATAAGGTGAGGGGAAAGGTTGAGAAGGAGAGTCCTTCATGGTAACCTCAGACAATGCAGGAACTGAACCCAAGTTTTTGGGGCTACTCAGCATTGTAAACCAGCTGTCCAGCCAACTGAGCTAATCAACCTGCTTTTTTAACTTGCCAGACTTTCTTAAGAAGTTTTTTCATTTTAAAAACTGATCCCTGAGGTCCAGCTCCCTTGAATTCACCTGCTAAGAATGGAAGTGAATTGATTTCCAAATGGCAAGTTGTTTCTATCCATTGTGCCCACTACAAAAAGCCCCTCAGTGTGGGTGTACCTGAGTTGCTGAGTGAGAGAGATTAAAGTGAGTGTATCTAGAGCTGGAGAATGGTTATTTAGTTAAAAACAAATCACAACCTGCATAACAGGAATTGTGGAATTATGGGGCACTGGCAGCAAGAGGTTACAGAGGTGAAGAGCATTCTTGGGACAGTTAAAAGTATATTAGACTGTGTAAGTAAAGGCAATTGTTACTGCCATGTGAGATTGGTGCGGTGAACCAGTATAAGTCCTTGGTAGGGTCTTGTATCTCAGCACACCAAAGGATTCAATTCTACTGCACAAAAGGCAATAATGAATAACTAGTCACATTTGCTCTAGAACTGCTGACTACTGAGGGGCACTCTTACAGGCAAGAGGAGAGAGGTTTGCATGTATTTGGAGAGTTAACTCCCCTAAAGGTGACATCAGCTTGGAATCCCAGTGTTATCTGTATCCGAGACAACAAGGTGCAGGGCTGGATGAACACAGCAGGCCAAGCAGCATCATAGGAGCAGAGAGGCTATTACGAGAGAGTTGCAGTGGGAGAGAGATCCCCTGAGGTTTGTCCGGAGGGAGGAGGGTAACTTCTTCAGGCGAGGCATCCTTAGAAGAGGCTTCGCAGTGGGGTTAAAATTGAATCAGAGATAGTAGGAACTGCAGATGCTGGAGAATCCGAGACAACAAGGTGCAGGGCTGGATGAACACAGCAGGCCAAGCAGCATCATAGGAGCAGAGAGGCTATTACAAGAGAGTTGCAGTGGGAGAGAGATCCCCTGAGGTTTGTCCGGAGGGAGGAGGGTAACTTCTTCAGGCTAGGCATCCTTAGAAGAGGCTTCGCAGTGGGGTTATCTGTATCCTGCTTTCTTCTGGGTTTATGTGAGGTGAGTGAAAGGGGAGAGGGGCATCTCATTAGATGAAAGTGCATTAGGATGGCAGAACAGAGTGCAGAATGCAGAGCGACAGCTGCAGAGAAGGTGCACAGAGAGAGAGAGATCAACGTTAATATTTGTAAGGTCCATTCAAAAGTCTCATAACAGTGGGGAAGAAGCTGTTATTTAATCCGTTCAGTGCAAGTAGAGGGTCTGTTCTCCCCACATTCCTGTGCACCAGTGCCTCACACTGTCACTGCAGGTGGCGACTGGCACAAAACAAAAACAGAAATTGCTGGAAAAGCTCAGCAGGTCTGGCAGTATCTGTGGAAAAAAAAGTCAGAGTTAATGTTTCAGGTCTTAACTGGAACATGTTTCCTCCTGGAAACATGATTGGTCCCTGATGGAATAGCTGGGTCAGCATTGCTACCCTTCCCTCAGTCTCTACCCACCTCAACTCTCAACTCTGCATCTCATCTCTACTGAATCCCTACAGTGTGGAAACAGGCCCTTCAGCCCAACAAGTCCACACCGACCCTCAGAGCAACGCACCCAGACCCATCCACCATCTAATCTACACATCCCTGAATACTTACGGGCAGTTTAGAATGGCCAGTCCACCTACCCTGCACATCTTTGGACTGTGGGAGGAAACCAGAGCACCCAGAGGAAACCCACACAGACATGGGGAGAATGTGCAAACTCCACACAGACAGTTCCCTGAAGGTGGAATCAAACCTGGGTCCCTGGTGCTGTGAGGCAGCAGTGCTAACCACTGTGCCACCGTGCTGCCAGAGAAGAGAGAAGAGAGACGAGAGACGAGAGAAGAGAAAAGAGAAGAGAGACGAGAGGAGAAGAGAAGAGAGAGAAGATAAAGACTAAAGAGATTTAGGTGTTTGTAATGACTAGTATAGAGAGAAGAGACTGTGACTGTAAGGCATTTGAAAAGGCAGTAGCAATACATAAGAGTTGGCTGTTCAGATGGGAGGTGAATAAATGGAACTCCAAGGTGTGTTGATCTGAGCAGTGCTGTGTAAGAGAATGCTGATGTAATAATATTGAACCCACTTCCGTCTAGCAGGCCAAGAAAAGCCGTGGGAACACCACCACATTCACCATCCTGACTTGGAAATATATCTTCCCTGGAGAGTGGAGGATGAGCGGTGACCTCAAAGAAGTTTATAAAATCATGAGGCACATGGATAGGGTGAACAGTCAAGGTCTTTTCCCCACAGTAAGGGAGTCTAACACTAGAGTGTGAATGTTTAAGGTGAGAGAAGAAAGATTTTAAGGGGATCCAAGGGGCAGCTTTTTCATGCAGAGGGTGGTGCGTATATGAAATGAACTGCCAGAGGAGGTGGTGGGAGGCTGGTACAATTAAAACATTTAAAAAGCATCTGGATGGGTACATGAATAGGAAGGGTTTAGATGGATATGAGCCAAATGCTGCAAATGGGACTAGATTAATGTAGAATATCTGGTCGTCATGGACAAGTTGGACTGAAGGGTCTGTTCCCATGCTGTAGAAATCTGTGACTCAATGACTCTATATTGACATTCATTCACAGCTTATGGTGTGTGGCACGGTGGCTCAGTGGTTAGCGCTGCTGCCTCACAGTGCCAGGGACCTGGGTTCAATTCCACCCTTGCGCAACTGTCTGTGTGGAGTTTGCACATTCTCCCCATGTCTATGTGGGTTTCCTCCCACAAGCCAAAGATGTGCAGCTTAGGTGGATTGGCCATGGGGCAATGTGGGGTTACAGGGAAAGGGTAGTGGGTTGGGTCTGGGTGGGATGCTCTTTGGAAGGTCGGTGTGGGCTTGTTGGGCTGAATGGCCTGCTTCCGTGTTGTAGGGATTCTATTAAAAAGCAGTTGTTGGGTCCCTCCCTAACAGCATTGTGTACCTACAGTATATGGACTGCAGTGGCTCAAGAAGATAGCTGACCACCAACTATTTACTAGCGATGGGCAATAAATATTGGCCATCTAGTGACACCCACAACCCATGCGTGAGCAGGAGAAGTGCTTACCTGGTCTGACCTATGTGTGACTCGGAACCCACAGAAAAGGGGTTGGCTCTTAACAATTAGAAATAGGCAATAAGTGGTAGTTTAGTCAGCAATACCCACAACCCATGGACAGATAAAACATAAACAAATGGTTCCAGTTGGAACCAAATCTGGGGGAATCCACCTTTCCTGTCTGAGAGGAGCTCCCTCTTCTCGAAATTTGTTTCAGTCGGTGGTTCATGTTGCTAAGTCAAAACATTCTGTTGCAGCCAGCCAGTGAATGTATTCTTAAAATTTCTGACACTTCAACATTTCTCCTTTAGCAAATAATTCGTTTTACCAGCTGTAAGTTTTCAATGCATTTTTTTTTGCAAGAATGGGAGATCCTGTAGAAGGATAAATTGCTGCACAAATGTAGATATACTGTTAGTTTACTCTTCATGTCCCTGTAAGAAAGGGAAAGTAAGTGACTGACATAAAAGCAGTAAATGGGGTGTGTGACAGCATCTGTGGAAATACAGAGTTAAAGTTTCAGGCTGTACTAACATATTAATATCATAATTTAGATGGGTCCACTCAGAGTGTCCGGTCTCAATTAGATCAACCTCCATTGCTTGGTTGGAATAGAAAAGCTATTGTACCAAGATGGTATTAAACTTATGATCACTAATTATAGACACACTGAACACCTTCTTCCTGCTTCATTCGTAGATGTCGGAGTTAGAATACCGAGTGACCCGACTCCAAGAGGAGGAATTGTTGCTAATCCACGGAACTGCAGATGGTAAGAGCGCGGACAAGTGAAATTCCATGAGTTGTCAGTGACAGTCTCTGACCTGAAATTGTGCAGGAAGGTTTCTGTGGGAAGGTGGAGACATTCTGCTCACTGTCATGGTGATCAATCTCTGCTGACTACCTCAGCTGAACCCTAGCAAAGCCTAGTTGTTCCTCAAATGGTGACTGGTTGGTTTTCAAAGTTCAATTGCAAGCACTCACTTTGCTCAGAATTCCTCTGCTGTTGCCCCATCAGCCTCAGTTGCAGGTTCACAGCCAGGAAGTACCTTTATACGCAGACCAGGCACAATGAACCTAATGGCCACTTGCTGCATCTTAATAACTTTTTGAATCTGAGGAAGAGTTAAAGACAAGGGTTAAAATTGAGAGACCAAGAAATTTTCCTACGTTTCCCTCTCCGTTGTCGCACAATTTAAGACAAGGACCCAAGACCATAAGATGTAGGAACAGAAGTTGGACATTCAGCCCTTTGAGCCTGGTCCACTATTCAGGGAGTTTGTGCTGATCTGATAATCCTCAACCCCACTTTCCTGCTTTTTCCCTCTAACTCTTGATTCCCTTTCAAATTAAACATCTCTCTTTCTCAACCTCAAACATCCATAATGACTCAATGTCAGTAGTCTTCTGCGGCACTTGTGTGAGGCATTCCAGAGAAACTTGGACGATTATGTGGATAGAAATCATGGACAAGGGTGAGGGGAAAAAAGCAGGAGATTTACACTCGGTAATGATGCTTGTTTAAAGAGCCATTGTGAGCACAGTGGACCGAATGGTCTCCTTCTGCTCCTTAACATTGCAGTGATTGGGTGTGATGTCGTCGGTGCCAATCCACTTCCTGCCATTTCTGGATGCAACACAGAGGGAGAACAACATCTTGGGAAAATACACTGTTTCCATGAAAATTCTATTACATGGACATGGGGTGCCCGGCAGCATCTAGGAAACAGGAGAACTTGGCTCCAGAAGTATTGTGCTTTAGATAGCACTTCTTGTGGGCATGGAAGAGAAGGAATGCTCCCCCTCCCTCCTGTCCCCTCAAGAAAGCCTACTAACTATCTCCTGCCCACAGCAGCCTCTCATAGCAACAATAATCAGTGACCTATTCTCAGCCAAGCCCCAAGCTCTCACCCCATTGTCACTGCAGGGAAGGGAAACAGGGAGAAATGTATAATGAGGTCCTGATTTAAATTAGCCAGGCCATTCATTCCCCTCACCCTCCCCAAAACCCTTGGCACATCGGGGTTCACAGATCCAGAACCATGAGATGGATTCCCAAGGCTTACACTCTTAAATGTTAAACTCCTTTAGGCCCAGCAACTGAATCCAAATTTACCTGAATGGGAACGTTTATGACTAAGGGCTCTTACAGCACTGTGGTAGCATCCCTACCTCTGAGTCCCACCTGTTCCAGAGATGCGTAATAACACATCTGAACAGGTTGATCAATAATATCTCAAGGTCTTTTTTGGTGCAACGGTAGTGTCCCTACCTCTCGACCAGGAAGCCTGGATTCTAATCCTGCACGCTCCAGAGATGTATAGTGATGTCTCTGAACAAGTTGATTAAACACATAAGTTTGAGACTCAGCAGTGGAAAACAGATTAAACAGCATTAGAGCTGTTGTCAAGCCCTTTGATATCAGACTGCAAGAATCTTGAAGGAAACATCCTTCAAAGAAACTCACAGCCGCTTAGTGAGAAACTCACTTCCATACCTGACAGATGCATAAAAGATGCAGCGAGTTGGTCCTGATGTCAAAGCAGGCCAGGCTGAGCATTTTGTGCAATTGTGCCCCAAATCACACCACTGCCCACAATATTCAGGCCACTTTAACATTCCGCCCTCAGGCTCTATGCATCTTGTATCTCTCAGATTTGCAGGATTAATCTAGATAATGACTGGAACTTGCAATGCAGTGGGTAATGTGCTGACTTCAAGTCTTACTCTAGGACTTGGTTGCCACAGAAGTTGTACTCATAACCTGGCCTAACAAGTTGAGCATCATTTTGCAAATCCTTCCAACATACGCTGATATGTTGTGTTCTTGTGTTGAATCTTGATTGCATAGACCTCCATTTCCTGAAGCAAGACTTGTTCCAGATTCTCCTCCATCAGTGAGCTGGCTTTGGGTATGCTGGACTCTTGCTGTGTATTTGCCCTACTTTGAATGAAGTAGACTGAATTTGTTATGAGAATCTCCTCAATCGATCTTTACTGTCTAGTTGAATTTTTCTGGGATATAACTGAACAGGATGACGGAAGACAATTAGAAACAACCATTTCAAATTCACACATTGAAGTGTTCAGAAGTGTTTGACCTGCTCACTGACAGTCAAATGATAATTATCTCATTATATGTCAACAGTTTGCTAAGAAAAGCAGGATATTATCCAATTACAGAAGTTTCAGTAACTTGAGGATGAGCTCTCTGATGTATCGCTATACATTTAGCCACATTTTCTGATACGAGAAATGATAGAATCTTAGTTTGAAGAGCAGTTCATTAAGTCTTAGATTACCTCGAACTCAAGTCAGAAGTGGTGGCATTAAATTTATCTTACAAGATGAGGGAAAGTCTATATTTTACAGAGCACAGTGGAAACCTCCAACAGGTTGCCCATGTTATAGACCAGACTAGACCCCCTCAAAATATTTTTATGAAGGTAGCCTAGACCCCCAAATTCTTCTTGTTTTAAGGTAGATGTGAAGTGCCATGTTCCAGATGTGACTGATCAAACTGCTCAACATTAAGCAAAACCAATTTATTTAAACACTGTATTTAAAATACATACAAAAGAAACAGGAATTTAGAATAATGTAACTATTGGAAAACTTAATGAAATAATAGATATAGTAACTATGACTAATTAACTGTTCCAACATAGTAACATCCCATGAACACACCCTTGGCAAAAAGGCAAATTTCGAAACAGATTCTCACATGCAGTTCTCCAGTGCAAGAGGAAAAAAAATCATCAAGAGAAAATTCAGAGCAAGTAGCAGCAAGGCGACATTCACTGAAGCTTTCAACTCTTTTGAGACCCCAAAGGCTTCAGCTTAAAACTAAACCTGAAAACTAAAAAACTAGAAAGCCTGGTCTGAGGGAGCTGGCCACACCCAGGTTACTTCCATTGTTCCAACTTCAACAGAAAACCTCACAAATTGTTCACGTTCTTTGTGACAGTTTGGCACCTCTGCCTTACAACCCGTTCAAAAAAAAAATAACCCAGGACAAAATAATCTCTTAAAGTGACAGCATTGTCACGCCCAGCATTGAAAGGAAGATGCTTTGGGGCACAGCACCCCAGTAAGCGATTTATTGGGAGAGGGTAAAGTCCAGATTTTCCAGAATGACATCAGGAGCAAAACATGAGAAGGTGACATTGCACTGGCAGGGCTTCTCTTTCCAAGAGTATCAAAGGTTAACGGAAAATATAATTGAGGTATTTCCGATGACAGAAAGAACTGATTGGGTACTTGAAGAGAAATTATTTATCTGGGTGGTGACTAAAGGAAAACAAAATCTTAAAATTGAAGCCAGGACATTCACGGCTATAGTCAGGAAGCATTTCTTCACAAAAAAGGTAGTGAAAATCTGGAACTCTGTCCTAAAATGCTGTTAAGTCAATTGAAAATGTCAGATCTGAAATCATTATATTTTAGTTTAGCCAAGGGTATTAAGTGACGGGTGAACCACAGCAGGTAAATGGGGGATACGATTCAGATCAGCCAAAATCTAATTGAATGGGGGAGGACGTTTGAAGGGCTGAATGGCCATTGATATAGTCTTCATGTTTTGTCGACCTTCCTTGCTATTTGTTCTTATTTCAAATCCTGATTATCATGCTGTTTATTTCCATTATTTGCTTCCTTTATTTCAGCTTTCAGGACTCAGTTTGTATCTCCTTGTATCTCATTACTCTCTCTTTTCCTCTTTCAGAAACTGTTCATTTCCAACATACAGCAGACCTTATAACTCACTTAATCAATGCAATGGCTAACTATTCATTGCAGGTATGTTATCTTTGCGTGCTTTACAGAGTTACTGCTTTGAATTATAATGGACACCGTTCCTTCTCAATCCACACAGTGGGATTTGAACCTGTGTACACTGATTAATAACCTGGATTGCTAGTCCACTGATATAACCACTATATCATGGGAGAGATGGTAGCACAGTGATAATGTGACTGGGCTAGTAATCTTGAGGCCCAAACTGATGGCTAATGCTAATTCAGAGAAGGTGAGGGAATTTGAATTCCATTAACAAACCTGGAATATAAAGTTAGTTTCAGTCACAGTGATCATGGCAACTATTGCCAATTGTTATATATTTAAAACAATTGATTCACTGATGTTACTGGGGGAAGAAAATCTGCCATCCTTATGTGGTCTGGCCTACATGTGACTCTAGTTGCACAGCAATGTGGTAGATTCTTAAATACCCTCTGAAATGGCCTGACAAGTCAGTTAGCTCAAGTTCAATGAGGGATGGACAGCCCAATACTAGTCTAGCCAGTGATGCCAACATTCCATGAAAGAATAAAGAAAAAGAAAGATTACGTGGATAAAATAGAGGACTTGAGATTGCTCTCCTTACAGCAGTGAAGGCTAAGAAAGAGATTTGATAGGGGTGTTTCAAATTGTGAAGGGTTTGGCGAGTGTAAATAAGGAGTAACTGTTTCCATTGGCTGAGGGATCATAAACCAAAGGGGTCAGATTGACGTTGGTTGGGTGAAAAAGCTGAGGGATCATGAGGAAATTGATGTAGGCAAACAACGTTTAGGATTTGTAATGACTGCCTGAGGGGCGATAGAGAAAGAATATGTATAGCAAACTTTGTTTTAACTGGCACCTTATAAACTGACACTCTTGATAAACTGGCAAAAGTTATATACCTCAGATGCCACAAAGTTTACTGTATTATCACAATGTCCAAGTAGTTAGTTGAGGGAGCAAGGGAGAAGGCTCTTTACCGGTAAGAATTATTTAAGGCAAAGTTGCATTACTACTTAAGTGATTTACGCTGTGGAGTATAACAGTGACATGTATACCCTCTGCATTACATTTCACTTACTTCTTATGTGTCTCTACATTGATTATGTGAACTTCATGATCAACTAGAATATTTGATCAACCGACACATTCCTGGCCCCATAGGTGCCAGTTAGTAAAAGGTTTGCTGTGGTTCATTTCAAAAATATATATGCTTGAAGGAGATAGAAGATTGTAGTGACACCACAAAGACAGGAAGGTGAGATTAACTGGGCTGCTCTATGAAGTTTCATAGAAGCCCTACAGTGTGGAAGCAGGCCATTCAGCCCAACAAGTCCACACCACTCCTCTGAAGAGCATCCCCACCAGATCCACCCCCCTACCCTATCCCTTAACCCTGCATTTCCCATGGCCAATCCAACTAGCCTGCACATCCCTGGGCACTATGGGGCAATTTAGCATGGCCAATCCACCCAACCGGCACATCTTTGGACTGTGGGAGGAAACCGGAACATCCAGAGAAAACCCACGCAGACATGGAGAGAATGTGCAAACTCCACACAGACAGGTCGTCCGAGGCTGGAATCAAACCCAATGGAATCAAACCATATGAATGTCGGTGGTTGTCAATGTTGTCAAAACAGGTCATCTATTTCCTGCAGTGCATTACTCACATGTAAATCTAATTCTTCTACAGATATATCCCGATGAAGGCCATTACATGGAGAAACCCACAGTTAGGCTGCACCTACACAAAACCATTATCAGATTCTTCGAGAAATGCTTCAAGTGCCCGAACAAGAACACAGAGACGTCGAAAGTAGGGGAGGAAGAGGATGACTAGATTGTTTTTGAGTGGCTTGCCAAGCACAAACATCTCTTTTATAAAACACAACTGATTTTGTTTTCCAGAACAGTGTTATGTTTAGCATGTTACAAAGACTGAGAGCAGTTACTGCCTGCTTCACTGACATCACTGCGGTCTCATCAGAAGAACCTCCAAGCATGAAATTAACAATCAGAGTGGTTGACTGTTCCGGTGTAATTGACATCCCTGCCCCTCCCCAACCCCCTGCACCCCCCCACTCTCTTCCCCCTCCTGGAAAACTAAAGTGTCAACCTTTGTAATTTCTCATGTGATGGGGAGGGGGTGCGTCACAGAATACACTTAATGGATGATCGAGGAGAGCGTCGGCAGGTTCAGAGGTCGAATAGATCAAGAGGGTAGATCAACACACCTCTGCAAACACCTTGTCAGGGTCACCCTAGGTGTCGAGAAGAACAGCAAAACCACCCCTTGGTATTATCAGCAAACATTTCATGGCGTGAGATGGAAACCCAACTGCACCAGCTGCAGTTTCAGAGCACAACCAGAAAGACGACAGTTAAATCCTTTCACTCGCAGTGGAACCTCCATTACTTGTATTTCAGTTGTCCACCTGCACCCATCCCACCCTCCCCATTTGGTCATGAGGATTTTCATAGAACAAATTGCAGGTGAGAGATAACCTCATTGCTGTATTTGCCTCCCCTTCTTGATTATAAGTCAACCACATTGCCCACAAATTATTAATATTCACTATATATAGCTCTCATCTCCGTTCCTATCTCTAAGGTATTGGCAGGACCATGGTGATTTGCAATTACTTCTGCCCACAAGGCAATTTCATTGCTAATATGGCAGATAATTAAGGTTTTGCTTGTAATTCCACAGTTTGGAGCCATTTGGTTTTACTCAACGTGGGGCTGCATTGTCCAAAAAATGTTAACTACCACTCCTTCGTTGTATGAACATAATATATTTTCCTTTCTTCTTCTCTCCTGAATGTGTGCACAACGTTAGACGGTCATCTTCAGTTCGTCCCATTCTGGCAGGAACATTGAAGGCTAGCAGCGAAATTCAGAGTTCCTTTGCTGTAACTTTAATGAATGTATATCCTTGATGCTGACAATAATGTTGCAGGTTTCCAAATGCCTTTCTTCTGTGTATGTTGTGTGACAGTCTTATTACATTCATCTGTGCATGGCAACAGACTTACCATCTCTGGAATGATTGCAAAATGCTTGCTTTTGGTGTACAGTTGCAATATTGCTCTTTTCTGGCAATGTGAACTTTAATTTAATGTCTCCCTGTTTTCTTTTCTCGATAGCTATCATGCATCAACAGGGTTGCCCTCGCCATCCACATCACATTTCTCATTGAATTAGTGTTGATGTTCAGTAATATTTCTTTTTAACCCTCTGTATGCAATAATTACATTGCAAGTTCAAGTCACTCATTGATTTGGAAATATCAGACGTCTGCACCCCAGAGAAACTGAATTCATCATCCAGTTTGCCCCAGTTGATCTTGTTATTTTAATGCAACTTTACGCTTAGCCATCATAAGTGAAATGGATAGATGGACAACAATAATCAAGTCATTAAGGTTTCGTATTTGTTCTTAAATAAAATGGCAAAAAAAGCATCCTAACATATTTTGCATACAAGTTACTGTTAGACCTCACGTACTAAATATTGTTGTGATTTGTGAAAAATCTTATTGGTTATATTTTTTAATTATTCTGAAAATAAATGAGGGTGGAGAGGGGTGAAACATATTGTCATTCGTGGAACAAAAGAAAAGGTTGATGTAGCGCTCGGAGAATTTACAATGCGGACAATTCCTTGTGAAATCATCCCTGATTCATGGATTTTTGTTTTGCGTTCTGCCTACAGTTTTGTAAATGGCTCATTTTGCAATGTAACCCTCCCACCTAGGAATCTCAATGACTCCCCTTTGCTTAAGCTCCTTCGATTTCAGAACCATGAGGATACCGGTTGTAAAATTAGACTAGACAAAGGAAACACCAAGGGCTGGATTTTCTTGCTGGAGTTCAGACCTCAACATCGGGCCTGTATGGGGGTTTCAAGCCCACCTCTTCCTGGCAGCCTGCTAATTGATCACTTCCATGCTTGACATCCTACTAGAGATGAGGAGTGAGCTCCCAAGGCTAGACGTGCAATCAGAGGGCCCACAGTAAAATCAGGTTGGCATAGGTGGTAGCTGCAACGGAGCACTCTTGGCTGCCTACATAAATGTAATGGAACAAGGGTGGCATGGTGGCTCAGCGGTTAGCACTGCTGCCTCATAGCGCCAGGGGCCTGGGCTTGATTCCACCCTCGGGCAACTATCTATATGGAGTTTGCACATTCTCCCCGTGTCTGTGTGGGTTTCCTCCGGGTGCTCCGGTTTCCTCCCACAGTCCAAAGATGTGCAGGTTAGGGTGGATTGGCCATGCTAAATTGCCCATAGTGTTCAGGGATGAGTAGATTAGGTGGGTTATAGGGTGATGGGCCTGGGTGGGATGCTTTGAGGGTTGGTGTGGACTTGTTGGGCCGAAGGGCCTGTTTCCACACTTTAGGGATTCTACATATAATAATGCCCACAGCCAAGAGGAACTTTGAGGTGGAGGGAAAGCCCCTTTTTGTGGGATAATGAAGGACAGTGGAAAGCTTTTCATCTTCCGTAGACCTGTCATTTGGGCATGGAACCCTGGTCCTGGTGGCTGCTGTTGGAAGACTGCTTCAAGTGAGCATTTTCCTGATTCCCTCCCCGGTAAAGGTGGTGAGAAGCCATTTTGTTTAAACTCCCATCTTCCTCCCCCCACAACCCCCATCTCCAAGGTTGGGAAAATCTAGCCCTTGTGCCGTTATCCTCATTCTGAATAGCACCCTCACAGCATCAGACTATTTCTTAAATTACCCTGGTCTTAGTCAGCCTGCCCAAAAAACCTATCGCAATGTCGACTGTGTGAAGAAACATTTTTGAATGATGACAATTAACCCTGTTTTTTGGAGTAATTACATCCAATATCCTTTCAAACCTTTATACGTTGGCACTTTCATACTGGTACATCTAATAACAAAATATTCTCTGACAGTTTCACCACTGTGATGAAGACGGAGGATTGGGAATTAAGAAAGAAATGCGAAACAATGGAAGTCCTAACACTTTGCCATCTAAGTACTAACATGTTGCCACCTTACTACCAATCCTGTACCACAACTTTATGGTTTAGCACCGGTCACATTAGAAAACCACATTATAAAATCTTGCTGTCAAAGTATCAATAAATACTCCTATAAGGCACATTTATGTAGTTGTTTTAACCATTTCATTTTTCTTATTGCTGTGTATGTAAAACTGTCTCAATGAGTTGATGATATTATCATTTCCTACCAAACTTATTCAATAAACCAACTTGAATTCTGAGATCCCTCAATCCATGGAGTTGGTCTGGACTTATTTCTGAAAGCAGCATATTAGAGTAGCATTTAGGGATTTTGTCGGAATCATCCAATTTAAAAATTGAGTTCTCCAATAAACAGGTTTCAACATCTGCAGCCATTTTCAAACTGGAAAGATAGGTACTAATGGCAGTATAAGGAAAGTATATTTCACTCTCAACTCCTTCATAGAATTATCATAGAATCCCTACAGTGTGGAAGCAGGCCATTCAGCCTATCAAATCCACACCAACCCTCTGAAGAGCCTCCCACCCACACCCCCTACTCTATAACACTGTATTTCCCATGGCCAATCCTCCCAACCTGCATGCATGAACTTGGGAGGAAACCAGAGCACTTGGGCAACAGTGCTAACCACTGAGCCACCTCTTAACCTAGTGATTACAAGAGAAGGATCAGTGTCACATCAATCATGTTACCAGACAGTGGTGAGTGAGTGGCAAAGATGATTCCTTACACTCATGCTTGCCCATAGACTTTCTGTGGGCATTTTATTTTTGCATTGTAGCTTGAGCTGATTAGAAAGGCAGTTTGGCACAGTTTTCCCTCAAGGTGATCACTATTGAGTGTGAATAGAGTAAGCAACGATGTGTCCCCTCGAACAATTGGACCGGTGCATTCTTAATAAAGCATGCAGAGCCTGAAGCAGGCAGTGCAAATTAGAACGTTTAATTAATGTCAAATCATCCACATATAACGAGATAAGGAGAGGGAAAGAAAGGTTGGATTGAGAGCAGAAATGAACGTGACAGGAAGAAAAGGTGAAAAAAAATCATTAATCACCTAATTTTACTTTTATAGATCTCCAAGAATAATTAAGAATCAGTGCTGGTAAAAATTAATTTTCAGCAACAGAGAAGTTATATGACAGTAATTAAGATTTGGCATACCATTAAACATTTAGTTACTACACAAATGGACAGGCCTTAACTACAGAAGTGTTTTATATAAATTACAGAACAAATTCATTCTCTTCCATGTATGTCAGTGTCATATCTCCCACCAGGATTAATTTTCAGAGGAGTAGAGCAACCGGGACTGTGACTCCCTGAGTTCTATATTTAATTGTGCACAAGCAGCCACCAAAACCTGCTGTCTGATTTACTCTCAAATGATAGTGAGCAGAGATAGCTTGGAGTAGCGTGGTGGCTCAGTGGTTAGCACTACCACCTCACAGCACTAGGGACCCAGGTTTGATTCCAGCCTCGGGTGACTGCCTGTGTGGAGATTGCACATTCTCCCCTGCATGGAGGTCCTCCGGGTGCTCTGGTTTCCTCCCACAGTCCAAAGATGTGCAGGTTAGGTGGATTGGCCATGGGATGAGTAGGAGTGGGGGTGGGGGTTCTAGATGGGATGATCTTGAGACGGTAAGTGTGGGCCGAAGGGCCTGCTTCTACACTGTACAGATTCTTTGATTCTATGTCATTTCTACCTCAGGGTCTATACTATGAATTGATAAAATGTAAGGGAAAAGGAGTATTTTACTGCTATTTCAATCAAACGTAATCTCATCACAATCATACTGTGCTTTGCCAGAGCTTTGCTGATTCCTGCTTCAGTTATCACACTTAATTTTTATCACTGATCTGCTGCCACCTCAATGCCAAAAGTGTTTGCACGATACTGAAAACAACTGAATGAATTTACCAGTTTAGGTACAGGTGATAACCTGGGAGTAAACTGAAACCATTTTGGTAGGTTTCTATGTTTCGTCTTTGCTAAAATTAACGGCCTATCGCTAATACTAGATCAGAACTCAGCATCTGTGGAGAGAAAGCAGAGTTAACATTTCGGGTCCGGTGACCCTCCTCCAGAACTGAAGAAGCATTATCACTACCTCGGCTTCCAGATTTTCAGACTAATGTTCTGGAGACCAGGGTTCGAATCCTGCCATGGCAGATGGTGGAATTTGAATTCAATAAAAATCTGGGATTAAGAGCTGAATGATGACTATGAAACCATTGCTGATTGCTGGGCAATGGAAGAAAGCATGTGGTTCACTAATGTCCTTCAGGAAAGGAAACTGCCATCCTTACCTGGTCTGGCCTACATGTGACTCCAGACCCAGAGCAATGTGGTTGACACCTAACTGTCCTCCAGGCAATTAGGGATGGGCAATAAATGCTGGCTGAGCCAGTGACACCCACATTACAGAATAGAATCCCCACAGTGTGGAAAGAGGCCATTCAGCCCATCAAGTCTGCACAAGTTCTCCAGAGTGCATCCCACCCAGGTACAGCTCCCCACTTTATCCCTGTAAACCTGTATTTCCCCATGGCTAATCCACCCAACCTGCACATCCCTGGATGCTATGGGCAACTGAACATGGCCAATCCACCCAACATACACATCTTTGGACTGTGGGAGGAAACTGGAGCACCCAGAGGAAACTGGGAAGAACATGCAAACTCTACATAGACAGACACCCAAGGCTGGGCTTGAACCTGGGTCCCTGATGCTGTGAGGTAGCAGTGCTAACCACTGAGCCACCATGGCCCTGTACATCCTGTGAATGAATTTAAAAAAACATGTTGCCAAACACAAAGCCCCGCTCTTTTATTCCTATCCAAATTCTTCCCTGTAGGGAAGTGACTGTCAATGGGGAGGGTGTGAGCTGATGCTTAGGGTGAGGTTCTTTACAGGACACACTGTGAGACACAGCCAACACACCTCGACTCTACTTGCCATTCCTCTGCTACGTCCTGGACCATGCAATTTCTCCCCTCCCCCCTGCCAGATTTTCTAGCCTCCCCTCTCCCTGCTGCTATTCCTGTTTAATTACATTTCTTCTGGGTACATTTTTATTTCCATCTCTGAATATCATATCCCTTTGCCTTCTGTTTTCTAACCACTGCCACCCTCTATGCTACCACAAATCCCTCTATTCCACATTCCACATCAGACAGATGTTCACCCGCACAACCGCTAATGTGGTCTACTGCATCTGTTGCTCCCAATGTGGCCTCCTCTACATTGGTGAGACCAAGCGGAGACTCGGAGACCGCTTTTATTAGAGCACCTACGCTCGGTTCGTGACAAACGACAACCATTTCAACTCCCCCACTCACTCACTGGGTGACATGTCCATCCTGGGCCTCCTTCAGTGTTACAACGTCGCCACCTGGAAACCGGAGGAGCAGCACCTCATAGTCTGTCTTGGGAGCCTACAACCCAATAGTCTCAATGTGCAGGTTATCTTCCTGCCCTCTGCCCACCACTGAAACTGGGGGACACCCTGGTCCACACTTCCATCAACCCCAACACCTCCCCATAGCCCTACGGCACCTTCCCCTGTAACTGGCAAAAGTGCAACACCTGCCCAGTTACCTCCTCCCTCCCCAGAATCCAAGGGCCCAAACATACCTTCCAGGTGAAGCAACACTTCACCTGCACTTCCCAGAATCTAGTCTACTGCATCCGCTGCACACAATGTGGTCTCCTCTACATTGGGGAAGCGAAGCATAGACTTGGCGACCGCTTCGCAGAACATCTACGTTCTGCTCGCAAAAAAGACCCTGAACTATCTGTTGCCTGCCACTTCAATGCACCACCTTGCTCCCTGGCCAACATCTCTGTCTCTGGCTTGCTACAGTGTTCCAGTGAAGCCCAACGCAAGCTGGAGGAACAACACCTCATTTTCCACTTGGGGACCCTACAGCCCTCTGGACTCAATATTGAGTTCAATAATTTTAGGGCCTAAACTCTCCCATGTCCCAGCTCCCCACCCCACACACCAGGCCTTGTTACCACATAGCCTGCCATTACACACCTCCTATTGTTAGCCACAAACAGTCACCATTAACAACTACTCACCCTCCCAGCCTGATCGCTAGCAACTTCTTTGTCTGTCCAACTGTCTTTCTCTCTCTTTGGGCTCTATCCTATCGTTTAC